CACCATTCACCAATTTAAAAAGAAAACAGAGAGACAAAGTTTCTCTCCTCTTTTCCAAGCTTTGAATGGAAAAGAGTACCAAAAGCTCATTTTGAGGGAAACCTCTACAAGGGTAATAGCCAAATGATTTGAAAAGGAGGAATTTAAAAAATTCCTTTGTAACTTTTCTAATTTAGGTAAGATTGTTTGATAAATTAATTACATATCGTCTAAGAAAAAAAAGAGTGGGTGGGGAAGGCTACTGCTTCCTCATAAAATTAGAAAAAAGCTAAATTTATAATATTTTGGTTAAAAATTTATCATGCTTATCACAACTTTAAAACATCTGCAAGATTTCAAAACATTCGATTTTCCAGCTTCAAATTAAATTACAAAATGTTGTTTTATAATATTGATTTTTTTTCAAAAAATCTGAACGTTTCGGATAGAAACTCAATAAAGCGTCATAAACTACATGTACGTGACATTACTAATATAAATACAAAATTCGACAACAAGCCCAGTACTTTGGAGATGATATGGCTAATAAAAACCGGGACGGACAGACAGATAGACGGACAGACACACAGACGGAAAGACCTATTTCGTCGTACAATCGCACGCAAATGTTTTGAGCCTATGGGCGGATCATTTTTGCCGGTCGTCACTGAAGGAGGCGGTACAAATCGTCCAAGGGCAGAATTTGTAGGTAGGCTCAAACTACAACGAAATTTACGTGTTGACCAAATTCTTACCCTGAATTAGTTTTAATTTTATAAATACCCTATCTAAAATGTTCAGAATACTTATGATGAGTCTATACTTGTGATTTACCATTCCATTTATATTTTTTGGATTTGTTTATACCTACAGGGTGACTCAAAAAAAATAATGACTGAGTAAATTTATTTTATTGAAGAAATCAAGAATTGCAAAACTGAATACTTTGAAATCTTGTCAATTAGTTGGAACCTGAGCCCAATTTTTTTTGCAATATCTGTGATGTGCCATTAGTTTCCGTAACTTATAAAATTAGAAAAAAAAAACCTATTCTGCTCTAATAAAATTGAGAATATGCTCAAAATCACACTAATATTAGGTCTAATTGTGCCAACCATAGTTATAAAATTCACATTAAATTAAGTCACGGACATTTTTGAAGTGTACTACATTTCAAAAAACAAAACAAATGTTCAGTTTATAAACTTCATAATTTTAGTTTAAGTTTATCAATCATGGTTGACGCTTTATTTTATCCGTTCCATTTGTTATCCTTTACTGCTGTCTCTCTTGGGTCGAGGTGTAACACCGCACCGAACGTTCTTCGACTCGTTGTGACCACTGAAATATACAAAGAGTAAATTTTGAAATGGAACGAAAGTCGAAGAATACTTTCAAAGCCACGATCAAAATGTATTTGATTATCTTCGCCAAAAAATGCATGACGTCATGGCAAAATTTGATATGATGAGTCAGTACCTGTGATTTATCATTGCAGTAATATTTTTTAGATTTACTTATACAGGCTGTCTCAAAAAAAGATCACTTCGATTTTCGATTTTTCGTTTTTTCGACCAACCGTTTCATCTAATTAGATTTTTCAGTTGCCATTTTTCTATCAACTTTTCGATTTTTTTACTTTCCCATTTTCTGATTTTTCAAATTTGCGGTATTTTGAATTTTCGAGTTTTCGGTTTTTCCGTTTTTCGATTTGTTGATTTTTCTGTTGGTCAGTTTTTAGACTTTGCTGCAATTTTTTTGCATTTTTCGATTATATTTTACTTTCCGATTTTTTAGATTTTTGAATTTTCGATTTTACGTTTTTAATTCTTCTATTCTCGATTTTTCGATTTTCCATTAATCATTAAATTTTTCGATTTTTCGGTTTTTTTATTTTTCGACCTTCGATTTTTCAATTTTCTAGTATTCGATTTTCCATTTTCTGATTTTACGATTTTTCGATTTTCGTTTTTCCGATTTTGTGGTTTTTCGATTTTTCTGTTTGTTTCAGTTTTTATGGTTTTGCGATTTTTTTATTTTTTCATTTTTCGATTTGGGATTTTTCAATTTGTGGATTTGTGTCCGTTTTTTCGATTTTTAGAATATTGATTAATCGAATTTTCGATTTTTGAGCATTTCGATTTTTCCATTTTTAGATATTTTTCGATTTTTCTGTTCGTCAGTTTTAGACTTTGCAATTTTTACTTTTCCACTTTTCTATTACTTATTTTAGTTTCGGATTATTCGATTTTTTAATTTTCGTTTTTTTTTCATTTTTCGATTTCCGATTTTTTAATTTTTCGATTTTTCAGTTTTTTAATTTGTCGATTCTCGATATTTCGATTTTCGATTTTCCAATCTCCGATTTTTCAATTTCCACTTTATGATTTTACGAGTTTTCGATTTTTCTGTTCGTCACTTTTTAGGCTTTGAAATTTGTTTACTTTTCGATTTTTGAATTGTCGACTTTTAGAGTTTTCAATATTATCAATTTTCGAACTTTCTGTTTTCCTATTTTTCGATTTTTGAATTTTCCATTTTTCGGTTTTTTGATTTTTCAATTTTCGGTTTTTCAATCTCGCAAATTTCCGATTTTTCAGATTTGTGAATTTCCGGTTTTTCGATCGACCTACGTATTATATTCATTGAATTTTCGATTTTCGGTTTTTCCATTTTTAGATTTTCGATTTTTCAGTTTTGTATTTTCAGATTTTCTGTTTTTCGCATATCTGATTCATCAAATTTTCGATTTTTTGATATTTGATTTTCGAATTTTCGATTGTTCAGTTTTCCATTCTTCAGCTTTTAGACTTCATTTTTTTTACTTTTCGATCTTCCGAATTTTCGAGTTTCAATTTTCAGATTTTTGATTTTTGGATTTTCCTTTTTAAATCTTTGAACTTTTCGGTTTTGATTTTTCGAATTTTTGATTTTTAATTTTTCCATTCTTCGGTTTTTAGACTTCAATTTTCTTTCTCTTAAATTTTTCGATATTCTATTTTCCGCTTTTCAGAATTTTCGATTTTCAGTTTTCAGACTTTCGACCATTAGAATTTTGGATATTTCGGTTTTATGATTTTTCGATTTTTAGAAAATTTGAGTAGTCGAATTTTCGATTTTTCAATTCATCGATTTTTCTATGTTCAATTTTTCAATTTAAATTTTTCGATTTTCAATTTGTCCATTGTCGATTTTTAGAATTTTCGGTTTTTCAATTTTTCCATTCTCACCTTTTAAACTTCAATTTTGTTTCTTTCCGATTTTTTGGTTTTCGATTTTCCAATTTTCAGAATTTCCAAGTTTCTTTATTCAGATTTTCGATTTTAAACTTTTGCGATTTTAGATTTTTCGAATTTTTGTTTTTCCAATTTTTTGCTTTTTCGATTTTCCTGTTCGTTTCAGTTTTTAGGCTTTGCAATTTTTTCTACTTTATATATTTTGAACATTTTAATTTCCGGTTTTTTTTAATTTTTGTTTTTGATTTTTTTAATTTTCAGTATTACAAATTTTTGACTTTTCGATTTTTTGGTTTTTCCGTTTTTCAATTCTCGATTTTTCGATTTTTGAGGTTTGTGAATTTCCACTTTTCGATCGACTTCGGTATTTGATTCATTGAATTTTCGATTTTTAGTTATCCATTTTTAGATTTTCGATTTTTACGATTTGTATTTTTCGATTTTCTGTTTTTTGCATTAGTGAATATCAGTTTTTCCGATTTTCGATTTGCCGCATATTTGATTAATCAAATTTTCGAAAAAGTTACCATGCTTACAAAAACTTTAAAACATCTACAATATTTCAAAGCATTCAGTTTTGCTATTCTTGATTTCTTCAATAAAACAAATTGACTCAGTCATTAACTTTTTTGAGACACCCTGTATAACCAAATCTAAAAAAATATTAATGCAGTGATAAATCACAAGTATAAAAACTCATCATATTTTCTATATTTAAGGTAGGATTTATTCTGCAAAATTTTGAGATGACGTCATAAATTTTTTAGAGGGGATAAGCAAATATATTTTAATAAAAAATGTGTCATGTTTATCATGACTTTAAAACATCTGCAAGATTTCAAAGTATTCGATTTTGCAAATTCAAAATTAAATTGCAAAATATTGTTTTATAATTTTGATTTTTTTCCAAAAATCTGGACGTTTCGGATGAAAATTCAACACGGAGTCATAAACTACATTTACTATGCATAAATTTGAAATGACGTCATCACATTATTGGTGGGGATGATTAGACAAATTTAATAATTTTGCGACATTTATGAAAAAAAAAATCAGTTAACAAAAATGGCACGTTTTTATTATTATGTCAGTTACATGTCACTCAACGACAATATCGTTTTTTTTTTATTTATTTATTAGGAACATTTAATAGGAATTTTATTTGAAAAAATGATGAAATTTTTTATACGGAACAATTGGTCGAAAGATGTTAGAAAGCAAAATAATTCCTGTCCGGACCATCGTTACTCACGAACGAAAGTGACTATTATTTTATGGGAACAACTACCTGCTAAATCTTCTCAGATAAATTCGAGAGAACTGGCGTGAGCCATAAATATTTCTTACCAAATGTAACTACTGTCCGTCCCGTTATTGTTAATAAAATTTTATGGAGTAAAATGTAAATTTCGTTGTAGTTTGAGCCTACCTACAAATTCTGCCCTTGAAGGATTTGGACTGCCTTCTTCGGTGAGGGCAGGCAAAAACGATCCGCCCATAGGCTCAAAACATTTGCGTGCAATTGTACACTAGGGGTTATGAAACGTCAAGAAAAGGTAAAAATAGAGAGTCGGTCGACAGGCTCGTTTAAAACGCTTCTAACTATTTTTTTTTTAAATATTACATTCAGAATCTTAAATCAATTTTGTACCAATTATTATTGTTAATGTTGATACTTACACTTCGCAGAATTAAAACAAAATGTATTAATTAAACAGAATAGCGTCAATATTTATTATAATTGTTAAACGTCGATTTGGTATGAACGTCAAAGTCACATAGTGAACACCCAACACCGTGAAAATTTACAAATATACATATTGTAAAAGCTTATCGCTGATAAAAATGTACATTTTCGTTAGCAAAATAAATATAAAAACCCAATGTCACAAGTAATCGACATTCAATTTTTTGAAATTACCATAGAACCCTAACATTTCATCATTCTCCAATTTTGCTTCAGGAAATTTTTCTTTGATCATTGTCAACAGTTTTCTATATACTTCGCCAGAAATGTGAAGTTAAGGAAAATTCCTTAATATAAGTAAATTATATATCATTCGATGTAGCCCAATGTTCTGAGACCAAAAAATGTCAAATTGTTCGCTTTGATGAAATATATCAATTAAATCGAATTTACTTTTCAAACAAATTCAAACAAAATTTATTAATTAAACAGAATACTTTCGATATATATTATAATGGTTAAAAGTCGATTGCCATTTAGTCACATAGTAAAACCCTTAATACCATAAAAATAAACATAACAACTTCTTTTCTCATCTAATCAATATTCAGCTTTTTGAAATTGCCGTAGAACCCCAGCATTTCGTCATTTTCCAATTTCGCCGGTCGGAGATTTTCATCAACCTTGAATTTTTCCAAATAATCGAAGAAACTAAGATGTTGCTCGTATTCGGGATCCGCCATTTCTAAATTGAGAGAAAAATTAAGCTTATGCACACACAGCAACTATTATACCTTGTAGTTTCTCAAGCGATATCCCTTTTCCACCAAAATCCACTGGTAAAAAATCTTCAGGAAACTTTTCATTGATTAGACTCTCTTCCGAGAGGAAATGTATCTAAAAATTACAGAAAGTTTGCGTTTCGTGAATTCTTCTAACTCACTCTTTCAAAAATTTTTCTCTTCATGATCGTCTTTAAAATTTTTACTAGTGTTTCTCCAAATGAAGGAAAGTTGATCATGTACATACCTTTCAAGCGAATGGAATAAATTTGCTACAAATGAAAATTTATTACTAGACACACAACGTTTAACTCTATACCTGATAAATCATAAAAAAAAATTTGTATAGAAACGTCGGTGTTAACTTTAAAAAGAAGGATAAAGGTAGATGTTTACAGTCAATAACGAATATATCTCCATACATGACATCTTCTCTCATTCTTATTTCTTGACAAGCCACAACATAACGTGCCATAACGTAATTATCTAACTGTTCCGCTAAATCTGGATTGCGAATCTTAAAGAAAAATACTCTGTTGTAATCGAGTAATTGCGGATGTGGAAGCAAGTAACTGAAAATAACGATGTGAATAAAGTTGTTTTTACTGGTATCAATCACGCCTACGCTATCTGAATAAATTCTTGCACGTTTGATGAAAATTTAGGAGTGATTTCCTTGTAAATCTCTTCCAACTTGGTCCTGGTTGTGTAATAATTGTCAATTTTCTGTTTTGTTTTCTCGATACTAAATTTATTAAGAATTAGAAAGTTCGTAATACTTCTTCGTTCTAAAATTTTTAGCGATAAAATGTGGAATGTCAAGTTCGAACTTACCTAAAGGTTGCAAAAAGTGCGGCTGTTCACTTATCCACTTCTGAATGGTTCTGATATCATCCTCTGTACTTTCTTTGTCTTTATCAAAGGTTTTTACTACATTTTCTATTACCGTTTCTTCTACTTTAAACATTTTTGATATGAAACTTTTGACGAAGTTTTGGTGGACGTACACGTCGATTGTCATTAAAATACTCACCTATATCTCTGCATTGACTACCAAATTTAATCTATTTTTTTCAGGGTATATAGTTATACGAACGTATATTACTTATACAGAACATTAAAACAAATCAACCCAAAAATTAAAAATTCCACTTGCCAACCGACTCGACATGTCACATGTTTTTAAACCTTGAAATACGAACAACGGCGGGATTATTGTGATGTGCAACTATATATATGGCTATAGCAAAACACAACGAATCAAATTTGATGGAAAAGCAGCGAAATGAACTCGTTTTTTGCGGTAGATTAAAAAATACCGCGAAGAAGGAAGAATCATCGTTTTCAACGACAAATCATATAACCTTAGAGAATTTGGAAGACTATATGTATATATGTTTATCGACGGCTTTGCCTTTACATAAAGAATTACAAATACTAAATCTAATTACTTAAATAATAATAATTTATATAGAACGTAATTTACACTTAACATGAAGGGGTGATGTCCGAGCTTTGGCCCACACTTTACAGGGTACTTTTAATATTTATTGTAATGGTTAACCGTGCATTTGACATTGGGGTTTAATAGCATAGTAAATATGTGTAATAAATATGTAGTAGAAGCTTATCACTAATAATTACACTGCACACTTACAATAACAAAATTAACATAATAATCATTTCTCGCCTAATCCACATTCAGTTTTTTGAAATCCCTATAGAACCCCAGCAATTCGTCATTTTCCAATTTCGCTGGTCGACGACTTTGATCAACCTTAAATTTTTCCAGATCCTCGAAGAATCTAACATGTTGTTCATATTCAGACACCATCATTTCTAAATTGAGAAAAATTAATTAACGTACGTAGAGTGACGTCTATACCTTCTCTCAAGCGATATCCCCTTTCCACCAAACTCCACCGGCAAAAAATCTTCACGAAACTTTTCTTTGATTATAGTATCCTCTGAGAAGAAATGCATCTAAAAAAAATAAATGTGTGTCTTTTTGTGAATTTTTCAAACTCACTCTTTCAAAAATTTTTGGTTTTGAGACCATCTTCAAAATTGTTAGCAGTGTTTCCCCAAATGAAGGAAGGTTAATGACGTAGATCGTTTTTATTCGAAAGGAATAAATTTGCTACAATTTAATACTTATTGTTAGGGACACAAGAAAATCTACATATTAAAAAAACTTATGGCTTATTACTAGAAGAACAAGACGAAGAAACCGCCACTTTAATTCAACATGTGAGATGTCGTAATAAAAGTGCAATGCAAGTTTTTCAGAAAGGAATTCTTTTATCAATTGCTTCTTTAAAAGGATTATACCAAGATCTTAAAGAAAAATATAGCATCACCTATTTATTTACACATCGCTTGAACCAAGATGCTTTGGAGAATTTTTTCTCACAAGTCAGAAATAAAGGAGGTCTTCACGATCATCCATCGCCTCTAAATGCCATTCACAGAATCAGATTAATTGTGTTAGGGAAAATTCTGGTCTGATTCAAGAGAAAACTAATACACAAGCAGAACAACAGCTAAGAGATGAGTATATTGTGGTAAATGTTATTACTCAAGCTGGTGTGTGTATTTCTCTTACATCTTCAGAAGTAGGCGAAGACACTGCAGATCTTAGCTCATCCTTGTCAACCACAAATTCTTCGAATTCCGACATAGAAGAGAAAGCCAATGAAAAAGATGGTTTTGCATATCTTTGTGGGTGGATAGCAAGAAAATTTCGCGATAAATATTCGTATATGGGTGATTATACAAAAAATAATACAGCAGATCACAGCTATAGAATGCCAGGTTGGATTCAACACCTGTCATTTGGAGGTCTCACGCAACCAAGCGATAAATGGTTTTTGCAAGCGAAAGAATGTGAAAGAATTTTTAGTAGGTTTCACAAAACACAAATAAATAAAGATCCTTACATCACAAAACGCATCGTGAATTCTATTAAAAAAAGAAGTGATTTGCCCGAAGAAGTTATTAAAGCGTTTGTTCTTCAGAGGATCTACATCAAAATTAAATGGTTAAATATTTTATATATCCCTACAATACGTGAAAACTGCTATGTCCAAACACTACCTTCAGCTTTGCAGTTTCTAGATATCTGAAACACCAGATCTGCATAACAGGAATGTCAAAGAAGTTCTACCTAAAACACGCCCACATGGCCATTCTAATATCAAGATTTTTCAAAATTTCTATAATAAAAAATATGAAAAAAACAATAAAATTTCAGGAGCATAGTGTTTAGAGTTCTGTAGATGATTACGAGACCTCTTGAAACAACAGAATGTTTAATAAAGATTTTTAACCTTCCTAATAGTAAAGTTACAATTATTACTAAACAGTAAGTTGAAGTAAGTTTTAAATTAAGAGAATGCAACTAACACAGAAAGAAAAATGAAAGTTACTGAAAATAAAAAACTTTATTGCAGTACCTACATACACTTTCTACATCCAATTTTGTTTATTGGTCACATTCATTTACTTGAAAAAGTATCGGGCCTATGAATCGTCGTCTAGAAACAGCTAACCACACACCAACCTTCACTGCGTGTAATGATGTTTCTTCAAAAGGGTGAGTATTTTTTATACACCAAATTCTGAAGTTCTGTGAGTTGACATAGCCTGACAGATGAAACCAGGCTTCATCAGAAAAGAACGACAAATCGAGAATCCTGTTATGGTCCATATTAGCTTGAAACCAACGACAATACCCAACGCGTGGAGGAAAATCAGCTGGTTGCAGCTCCTGAACCAACGAGATCTTATATGGATGCATATGTAACTTCTCTTTTACGATTTTCTGGCACGTGCTGTATGGTACTCCGGACTGTAAAGAGTTTTGACAAAGCTTTATTCAGACTTTGTTCCATTCTCATCCTTAAATCTTCAACAACACTAACTCGTCGGTTTTCACTTAGAAACGCTACCAGTATTGTTAAATCTGGCCACAATTCGCCGCTAAAGCGTCTTCAAAGATTCTTCCTCAATGACAACAGGACATTTCACCAGATCCGCAGAGTACACTCCATCCCCATCCTCATTTAACACCCCATTACGGTAACAGGACATGATGATTGCTCCAAAGAACTAAAAAAGTCATTTGTAACACTGACTATAGTTAGAGACCCTAGATATACTATTACAAATGGTAGAAAAAAATCGTTTTTCTAAATCGTTTGAATAGGTTTTAAAATTGAAAAGTCTACGATGTAATAAATAATGTAATAAAATTGCATAAAGTGTACTAAAAATACCGAGAAATTTTGAATTCTAGAATTTGAATTATTTTTTTAAATTATTTCTTAACTAAAATGTTTATGTACAGATATTTCATTTGAACTAAGCCTTGAAAAGTGCTTCAAAACTACTTACTGCTTGTAGAGGAAACAAATTCTTGAACGAAAATTCCACCATTTGAAATGTTTTTAAGAACTTTGGAAAAATGAACTAGAATCGAAGAGTTAAAAATAGAAACACGTTTTCAAGTCAAAAAGAACGAAAAGTGGTCAAAACGTTATTCAAAATTGATTTCGGTTTTCATCCGATATATCACATGATTCCAACAAGTGTCTCTAAAAAATTTTACAATTTCTGAAATTTTAATTTTTTGTGATTTAAAACATTTTTGAGAGGGATGTTTGTTTTCAAAATTTCAAAACAAGTTTTTCGTTTATTTGTAATTTTAAAGTTTTTTGAATATTTAGATATTAGTATAGTTTACAAGTAGGCGAAACGTCAAAACTTTTTCCAAAATTGATCGAAATTGACTGAACAATAAGTCAAATCACAAATGAAATATCTCTAAGAAAATAGAGGGCGAGTGGGCGGGGTTACTATCTTGCTACTCTAAGATCAATTTTGGCAAATGAAATAGCCTCTAAGAGAAGAGAGGGTGGGTGGGCGGGGCTAGTAGCTACCAAGATAAGACTGATTTTGGCAGATGACATATCCTCTAAGAAAAGAGTGGGTGGGTGGGCGGGGCTAGTACCTGCTAAGATAAGACTGATATTGGCAAACTCTCTAAGGAATTGAAGGGCGAGGGGACGGAGCTGGTACTTACTAAGATAAGACTGATTTTGCCAAATGACATACCCTCTAAGAAAATGAAGGGTAGAAGGTATATCATTTCCCAAAATCAGTCTTATCTTGGCAACTTTTGGGGTCTCTAACTATAGTTATTCCTCTGTATTCATTACCTGAGATTATTCCACAATGATCTGTAGTTTTGATAAAAACTGTTTTTTGAGACACTTAAAGTTCGAATAAATGGGAACACAGCAAAAATGAAAACAAGACAAGTCAATTAACGCACAAAGTGTGGGAAAACGTACCAGTAATCAGTACAAACGAAAAAATTATTGACATCAATTTCCATTCCGGAAATTGATTTTTCTTTATTCCACAGCATTAAAAATTTTTCCCTTTCCAACAAAAATGTGATCATCGCAGGCGACTTTAACATGACACACCTATCTTGGCCAATAATACCAAATTCGCCATACAACGAAAGCATTTTGGACTCTATTCTGGAAGGAAACTTAAACCAATTAATCACGAAGCCAACGAGAATTCGACAAAATCAAGCCCCTTCTCAAACGGATTTAATTTTTACAAACGATTTACATTTACTGACAAACATAGAATACTTACCACCATTAGGAAAATCAGATCACCTCACAATTGCATCCAAGCTCCAAATCCATGTCACGCAAGCAAAAAATGGGATCATTAAAAGAATTAATCGCACAAATTACGACAAAGTTCGAAATGACCTTGCCCTTATCAGCTGGAACTCAGCATTCAATTCACTCAACACTTCTCAAATGTGGAAGTTATTTGAAACAAAATTATCCAGTTCCGTAAAAAAACATACTTCTACTATAAAAATTAAAGTCCTCCCTCAGAAACCTTGGATAAATCACCATTTACTCAAGTTAATCAAACAAAAAAAGCGTATTTGGGAAGCATATAAAAGAAGTCCATCGGAAAACAAATATCTCGATCACAGAAGATTTTCTAACCACGTCGTTTCAGAGCTGAAAAAAGCAAGAAAAATTTTCGAAGACAATTTAGCAAAATCAGAATCTTCTAAGAAATTTTACAAATACATAAGGTCATCCCTCTCAACCAAAGTTGGTATTCCATTACTAAGAAAACCCGACGGCAACCTTTGCCTATCTAACAAAGAAACAGCGGATCTCCTTGCAGATGAATTCCACTCCAACTACAGCCTGGAAACTTATGGACCATTTTTAAAGACAATCGTTTCAAACAGAAATTCCTTGTCGAACATAATTATTACAGAGGCAGCGATAAAAGAAACTCTCAAAGAAATAGCTAAAAGACAAAGCGCCCCAGGTCCCGACAACATCACTTGCCAGGTTATCAACGCCTGTATCGAGGAAATTACCACCCCCATATTTTGCATCACCAAATCTTCAATTGAAGAAGCAACACTTCCCTGCCAGTGGTTAACAGCCAACGTAACTCCAATCTACAAA